CTGGCTAAAATTATGTTAATTTTTGGCCAGAATTATGATATACAAATATAAGAAATTTTTTATATAGTCACATCTCTTTATAATCACCAAATATGGACTGTCCCAAATGTGTGACTATAAAGAGAGTTGACTGTATATAGGATGTCAAGAAAATTCTTTCTGTTAATATTATATTCGGTGACTTATTTAAAGTTAATAATATTAGTGTATTTGGCCAGGTGTGCCATATTTTAGGCTATAAAATAAAAAAAAAACAAAATTATTTTTCTGCTAAAAAATGGATATGTAGATCCGTCATTAAAAAGAATTACCTTTCTCTGAGATTAAAATATTAAAATAATATTAAAGTTAATTATATTATAATAATAAAATAATAATAAAAACATTAAAAATTATTGTGATATTATTTTGAGTTATTTTTATAGATTTAAATACAATATAATTACAAAATAATAACAAAAATATAATAAAAATATTTTGATGTATTAAATGTATTTTTGTAGTATTTTAAAATTATTACAAAATAATTTCAAAAAATTGGCCATTTTTAGTAAAGTATTAGAATTAAATAAAAAAAATAATCTTTAAAGCTAATTACATTTTACAGTTACAAAAAGCTGGCCATTATAAACAAATCATTTAAAAAAATAAATTCTCAAAATAAATTAGCAGTAAAATGCTAAAACTTGTTATTTTTATTGTTAAATATATTAATATAAAAAAAAAAGAAAAAAAATTAAAAATTTATAGTACATATAATAAATTTATTTATCTTTCTAGTATTTTTTATGTTACTTTTTAATAATATAAAATAAACTTATAATAGGTAAAAGTCCTTATTTCAGACCTAAAAACTCAGTCTTAAGACTGGGTCTGCAATTAGTCTTAAATGAATCCCAGCCAATAAAAAGAATTTTACAATATATTACATGATAATAATGATGGTTATTTTAATTTTTATTGTATAAACTTATAATAAGTTTAGATAATGTGTTCGATTTTATTGATTTGGAAAGTGATAATATTTTGGATAATATATTATATACTTTATAAGGAAGTTCTTGAAAAATTTTGAATTATGTAAATTGCAAAAATCCAGCTTATTCAAAAGTACCTATATGCAAAAGGTGTAATTACATATTTTCTATTAAATCATGTAATATTATTATAGAATAGTATCTTTTAAATAAGCACAACATAATAATCCCAAAGGTCAAAAAGTAAACAACATTAAATGTCAAATATACAGATCCTTGGCTTGCAAAAGAAAATTGAAGCGAGACAAAGTAATTGTTATTTGGATTATTAATAACTAACAACTTTTTAGTGTTATGAAAAATGAAAAATTTATTGAAATGATGCATATTTTCGATTTTTATTATAAAATTCCTGATTGATATCAAATAAAAAAAATAATTATTGATGAATTAATTATTCAACATTATTCTAATATTGGCTATAATTTACAGCAAAGTTTTTTTTACTGCCAATATGTAGATATTAACTATAAGTAGTGAAATATACTTTAGCCTAACAATTCACTATATTAACCAAAATTGAGTTCTTCAGCATTTTTTACTTGATATTATTCCTTTTAAAGTTCATTATTCAGGAATCAATATAGTAGTAATAATCACTAATGTTCTTAATGAATTTAAGTTAGCAGATAAAGCATTAGTACTTACTACAGATAATGAATCTGCAATGTTAGTATATGAACATAAATTATTAGAAGAGTTTGAAAAAGAATTAAATAATCTTACCTTCAGCCATTATCATTGTTCAGTATATATACTTAGCCTTGCAGTTAAGTAAGGAATGGAAATAGTTGATCAAGAAATAGTAAAAGTGCAATAATTAATATCAAAAACTAAAAATTTGGTCTTATTATGTAATGAATTATATGATTTATATGTTATAAGAAACTTGAGTATCTTCAACTAGAAATAAATATAAAAATAAGGTGAAACTTCACCTAATATATGCTTTGTAAGTTATAGCGAATGAAAACAACATTAATAGTTAAATATGATAGTATACATAAATTAATGCCAGATGCTGAAGCATGGATGAAAATAAAGTAAAAGTAAAATAATATTTTTTTTTTTAATAAATAGTTTCTGTTTTTTGTTATTATTACTTACAAAATTAAATCCTTTTAATTATTAATCAAAGGAATCAGTGATCATTTTAGAACCTTTTGAAAGAGCAACAAAAACCTCTCAAGATCATTATACTCAATTATTGCTGATGTTCGATTTTACTTTAATGAAATTTGTAATTATCTAAAGTATTGTGTGGAAAGGAAGAATGAATTTGAACAATATATATATTAACTGCTTCAATAAATAAAAAACTTAAAGAATACTGGTTAATTATTAATAATACTATTACCATTTCATCAATATTATTAGACTTTCAAAATAAAATTTCTTTTTTTAAACTAGGTAAAATAACTGCTATTGTTACCTTACATAAACAATTTTTTTTCTATTTTTCTCAAAAGCTACAATCACAAGCTTTCCTTTCTTGTACATCATCATGAGAATATTTTTGTTAACTAAAAAAATATCATATAGGAATAACTGCTGAAACAATATTACCACCATCACTTAACTCTGATTTTGCTAAAATAGAAAGATATTTAGTTTTACCATGCCTTATGAAGATTATTGTATTTGTTCTTGATGAGCTGTATACAACAGGCAATAAAATTAATAACCAAACAGATAGTAATTTATATACTATTGCTTCATGTAAAAACTTTATTATATGTTATATTAAATTTATTAAGATGTATATTACGTCACGAAAAAAGAAATTTAATGAAGATGATTTAAAAATCTTTGAAGTATAATTATTTCTTTACATAATAATAGTATAATATTACATATAATTTTTTTACTAATTTGCTTTTATATAGCGTGAAATAATAGATTAGTCTAATGATTTTATAAATATATTTTGCGCAATTCTCTCCTAGTGAACTTCAGTTACCAAAGCTTCATATGTGAAGATATCATATCGGCTGATTGGAAAAATCAAGCCAATTAATATTTAAGCTCAGTTGATGGGTTCATTATATAACTGATGGGTTACTTATTGTCATTTAGCATATAAAATTATGGGAGGCTTTTCTGATCAGCCGATATGTTATACTATTCATACCATTCGGCAATATGGTGCATTAAATGGGCTGACAACTGAGACGTATGAAACGCTTCACAAAATTGGGTTAAAAATCCATATAGAATGTCTAATAAAAAAAATACACATAATCAAATGTTAAAGACAGTATGTTATAATGCAATTTTCAGCCAAATAAATGTAAAAGATTTTTTTAACAATTTAAATATATTATTAGATTTGACGACAAATAATTACAAATACCATTACGAAAAAAACTATAAGTTTAAAACTAAATTCTATGAAATCACTTCTTTGGGAATTGCCAATAAGTGAAATATATACTCTTCAAGAAAAGCTTAAGCATAAAGAAAATATAAATGAATTGTGTATTGAAGGAATGGAACATTTAATTGCTTGTTTAGATATATACTTAAATGATATATCTAATGCATCGGCAAATGAAGAAATTTATTTAAAGATTTATGCTAACGAAACACTGTCAAATAGAGAAATCGTATATGCAACAAGTAAATTTCATGGTTATGCAAGATTTAGTGATATTGCAATTGCAATGGGTGATACAAATTATTTAACTGACGGTAGATTATGTTATGGCAAGGCAAGTATTTATATAATTTATTTTAATTAAAACTAAACACTATTTAATATTTTTATTTATTTTACAGGTATTAATGTTAATTGAAGTTTCGTTCCTTCCTAATCATTCTTATTTATCTCTTGTTTTAGTATATTGGTATGATTACTATTCTAAATGATATTCCATAATGTATAAATGTTCTCATATGAAATTTGTAAATCATTATAATTTAATATCATTTGAATCCATTGCAGGTTTAGTGCATATGGTAAAACGGTTTGATTTTAATAATGAATTTTTTGTAAATAAGTTTATTTTTTGAAAATATAATAGTAAATAGTAATATCCAATATAATATATAACATTTAATAATAAAGTAATCATAATATTAATGATATTAACAATAATATTCATATTAAATTAATTGAAAAAGTTTTTAAAAAAATCCTTAGAGTTTTTTATTTAAGGATTTTTAAAGAATCTGACAATTAATAGATTCCTAAAAGATCCTTAAAAATTAGCAAAGAATTTTTAGAATTCCATGAATTTGTGAATCTTTAGGGATTCTATAGAAAATTATGGAATCCTTGTGGATCCTATTCTGAAAAATATTACTGATGTGTGATGAAAATGTGAAAGTGCTTTTTTGGTAACAAGCCCATTCTACTGAATTTCTGGTACTCTTACTAATAGCAAAAAAAAATTATTTAGCAATACAATCCACAAATATAGCCTGTGAATAAGTATTTTCTATTGCAGGCAATATAATTACTAAAGTTTAAAATCATTTATATTCAGAGACTGCAAGAGCATCGTTATATATAAAAAGTTGGATTGAGAATAGTATTGGTGAACAAATTCAGTTAAAGTAATTTAAATATGTTTTATTTATTAAATACAGTATTTGTATAACATATTATTACCATTTTCAAAATTACTGACAAATTCTGATTTGTGAAGTTTGATATATGATTTTTCATATAATAAGAGTGAATCACATTTTTACGTGAATTTTTAATATTTTCATGTCAAATTTTTTTTGTGAATTATCAAATTCAAGTCAAAATGTGTATCAACGCAAAATTTCAGTATATATTTCTTATAAAAATTTTGGACTTTTATTATGCAGATATCATTTATTATAGTTAGTTTTATATAAAAATAAAGTGAATCACATTTCTGCATGAATTTTTAATATTTTTGTATCAAATTTTTTTTGTGAATCATCAAATTCAAGTCAAAATGTGTATCAACGCAAAATTTCAGTATATATTTCTTATAAAATTTTGGACTTTTATTATGCAGATATCATTTATTACAGTTATTTATATATAAAAATAAAGTGAATCACATTTCTACATCAATTTTTATATTAAAATTTTTTTGTGAATCACCAAATTCAAGATATTATATATATCAAGGCAAAATTTCAATATATATTTCATTTAAAATTTGGACTTTTTTATGTCACTATTTTTATATGTAAATAATTGCAAGAAATAATATTAATATAGTAAAAGTCCAAAATTTTTATATGAAATATATGCTGAAATTTTGCACTACTGATACTCATTTTGTTTCGAATTTAATGATTTACAAAAAAAATTTGACATGAAAATATTAAAAATTTATGTAGAAATATGATTCACTTTATTTTTATATATAAATGATTATAATAAATGATATCTGCATAATAAAAGTCCAAAATTTTTATAAGAAATATATACTAAAATTTTGCGTTGATACACATTTTGACTTGAATTTGATAATTCACAAAAAAAATTTGACACAAAAATATTAAAAATTCATGCAGAAATGTGATTCACTTTATTTTTAAATATAAATGATTATAATAAATGATATCTGCATAGTAAAAGTCCAAAATTTTTATATTAAATATATGCTGAAATTTTGCATTAATACATATTTTATCTTGAATTTGATAATTCACAAAAAAAAATTTGACATAAAAATATTAAAAATTCGTGTAAAAATGTGATTTACTTTTGTTATACGAAAAATCATATATTAAATCTTGCAAATCGGAATTTGTCAGTAATTTTGAAAATGGCAATAACATATGATTATCATTTATACAATAAACATTTAATATATTTTTTTGAAGTTTTTTTTTTATTTTTATGATAAGTTTTTATATTAATTTTAAAGAAAAAAATAAAAAAAAAAATAAATTTTGTTATTTTTTATTATAAAATTTGATAAATAATATACATTAAACTGGTTTAGGACTGAATCTTAGGATCAAGTCCAAAACTGGACTTGATCAGACACAAGTTCTGGATATATATGGACTTAGTTTGTAGGTTCATCAGATAGGATTTGCAAGTCTTAGGACTAAAACTAAACTAGAACTGATTTTACCAACTCTACTGGCATTTATATTATAATTTTAAACCTAAAAAAATACATAGAACTAATAGTAATTTTTTTTTAGTTACACCTTACCTCTATATATATAATTTGAAGTTCTACTTTTAGTATATCATAATAAAAAATATATTCAATTTTCTAATTCTTTAAATTTTATATATTTGGATATTATTCAGGTACTTTTACTTTTCAAGCATTAATCATTTTTTCTACAAATAATACTTAATAAATAACATTAAGTAATATAAAAAATACTTTTAATACTTTTAAAATATTGCTTCAAACCTTAACTTTAAAATAAATATAAATTTATTACACTAGAACTTGTAATTTATACTATAAATTTAATTTAAAGTTGGTACTTTCTTTTTGTAATTCACTGTATGTAAAATAATAGTAATAGAAATTGGATATATTTATTATATTAATTTTTGAAAAAAAAAAAAAAAAAAAAAAAAAATAATAAAATAATAATGTCATCAGTATAAACTTTATTTATTATAGTATCTGACTTCTTGTGATATCATTTAGTCATATTATTTTACTAGTAAATTAAATTTTTAATATAATATTAAAATTTTAAAGATAATATATACCTTTATTTTAAAATGTTTTTCACAATTTATTTCACAATTTCTTTTAACTTTTATTTATATTACATATTAGAAAACAGTAGTCTTCAAAATTTAAAAACTTATTTTTAAATTTTAATTGGTCTCTTAAGATTAAATTATATATATATTCTGATAGAGTTAAGTATTCTATAACTTTATCAAAAATATGCTGCTTTTATATATTAATAAGTGTTTTTTAACTTAACACTATATTATTATTCTAATAAAACAGTCATTCAACAAGTGATAGGTAATAATAAAGTTATCTGTATAATTATATTACAAATAGCTGTTCTCTAACTCATTATAACCTATTATAAAACCTCTTTTCAAAGGTATTGGAATAAAAATATATTAAAGAGCCACCTGTATCACCTGTATTCAGTAACCTTCCCACAGCTAAGCTTCTGTTGTTATCTAATTACTAAATATGGTCCGGTGTGAAAAGATTTGTACCTCACCAAAAAAGGGATGGATTTACGCCAATAAAAATATCATACGACTTAAATAAGGTGGGCTGATATTCAAGAATTTGTTAGAACATATCCAAACACACATTCTCTCAAAAAATTTTTTCCATACCATGTATTCTCATTTCCTGAAACGAAATGGTGCACCATTAACAGATAACGAAAAATCAATGATAATTAACATTCACAACTATCTTTTGGGGGATAGCTCTACAAGTAATGATCATCATAAGCTAACATTACGCAAGCATATTGCTGAGATATTGGGTGTAGCTGAGGGTACAGTTGGAAGTGTGGTGTCGGACT